TGGCTCATTCAATTCCAACTCCCAATATAGAAAATGTGTAAGTTTCTACATAAGTGACTGGGAATTAATAGAATCTTAAGAGTTCAATAGGAATTGGGCCACATAACCTTGAGTGCAGATCAGATAGTTAGCTAACAGTTAGGTACACCTAGTACTGGGGACCTCAATACCATACAAGGCTGTCTAATGCTTTGTTGGGAGTGGGAGAACACTAAGATTAATGAGTACTCCAGGTGCTAGGTACATTATCAGGCATTTTATATGTATCAACTTTATTCTTCACAACAATCTTATAGTTATTTTCCACATTTTACAAATTATATAATGAAGGTACAGGAAGGAACGAATCAATTGCTACAAATCACATGGTTAGTGAGTGTTTAGAATCAGCATTTGAGCCCAGAATTCTTTAACTATAATAGTTAATGCTTTATCATCATTCAACACTGCATCCCTCTGCAAGTAAATGATGGTAGAATCTCAAATGACAGGCTGAAATTCATGCTCTGTCCACTATAATCCTCCCATCAACCTACCTAGCAATTGGCAAAATTGAAATGAGTTTTATGACTTGCTCTTAGGAAATCAGTGCTGAGCCCCTGTGGCCACTGCATTTCTTTCTTTTTTAAGATTTATTTATTTATTTGAAAGGCAGATTTAGAGAGAGGCAGAAGCAGAGAGAGAGAAGTCTTCCATCCATTGGTTCACTACCCAAATGGCTGCAAAGGCCAGAGCTGGGCCAATTCAAGCCAAGTCAGGACCCAGGACCTTCTTCCAGGTCTCCCATGTGGGTGCAGGGGCTACTTTCCAAAGCCATAGCAGAGAACTGGATCAGAACTGGAGCAGCTGGGACTCAAACTAGTGTCTGTTTGAAATGCCAGCACTGCAGGTGGTGGCTTTACCCACTACCCCATAATTCTGGCCCTGCTATTGCATCTCTTTCTAAATATGTGCATATTGTTAAATAATTTATTTAAATACTCACACACATTCAATGGCAATAATGACATAGAAGTTATCAGTGTGGAATCTGGAACCAGCTTGCCTGGATTCAATTTTGATTCTGTCAGTCATTGTCTCACATCATATATCTTTGAAATGGGAAAAATAATAGCACCTACCCCATAGGTTTGTCGCGAGAATTAAAGAATGTTCCTTTCTGTCTGTCTTACATTTTTAGAAATTTATTTGAGAAGCAGAGGGCTTCCATTTGCTAGGTTCACTTTCCAAATGCCTTAACAATGCTGACTGAAGATAGGAGTCAGGAAAGAAACCTAGGTTTTCCATGTGGGTGGCAGGAACCCATTTACTAGAGCAATCAGCATTGCCTCCCAGGAATGGAACTGGCAAGACGGTGTACTCAGGAGCCAGAGCTGGGAATCAAACCCAGGCACTTGAATATGGAATGTAGGTGTCTTAATTGCAAGTTCTTAGAAGACCATCACAGACACACTCAATCAGTGCTAGTTCATTGTTATCCTTTTTTCAATCTATATTTTCCAGGCTATATTATTTTCTCTTTTGAAAGCTGGCACATTTTCTTATCTATAAGTGTTCTCATAGATTTTCTGGGACACATAATTCTGCCAAGTTTACCTATAGCAATTCCCCCAGAGACATAGGAGAATTATTTCAGTGCCCAGAAATCTATGTAGTTTTAAATTATGTTACACTTAAATTCTATTAGGCTACAAGCCTCAAAAAGGCATAGCAGGGTGGCATAGAGTAAGGGCACAATAAATATTTCGAGTATAAAAGAATTCACAGCAGTGATGTGTTTTCTTACAATATCAGATCCTTAGGGCTTCAATTCATTTTATTCAAGGTTTATGCTCTCTTTTCCTAGACAGAGAAGGAATTTACATTCTTCTGTTAATACTAAATTGTCTGCCTCAAGCAGGGCATTGCCATTGCCATTCTATCATTTCTTTTTTTTGTCATCATTTGAACAGATCTTTAAAAATGATTAATAATGTCTTAAACATTTTAAAACTAACTTTGACTCACTCTGGGATTCATGAAGCTAGTGTTGTAGCTACTGTTAACATGTCATATGCAGAAGGCTATATATTACCTAGTCACTTGCTAGGAGCCTTGTTCCTCTTCATTTTAAATATGTGCTTATCAGGAAGCTTAATGTAGTTGCCTTTGATTATTCAGCTGGTTTGCTCCCCCTATCTTTCCGTATAAAAAAGGATGCAAAGCTTTCATTTTTATTTTTAAGACTTATTTTACTTATTTGAAAGGCAGAGTGAGAGAGAGAGAGAGAGAGAGAGAGAGAGACAGATCTTCCAACCACTGAGTCACTCCCCAAATGGCTTTAATGGCCCAAAGCCAAGAGCCTGGAATTCCATCTGTGTCTCTCATGTGGGTGGCAGGGGCCAAAGTACTTGAACCATCTTTTGCTGCTTTTCCAGGTGTATTAGCAGGGAGCTGGATCAGAAGCAGAACAGCCAGGATCAGCACTCAAATGAGATGCAGTGGCTTAACCTGCTGCAGCACAACACAGGCCCTGATATAAAGCTTTCAGACATCCATTTAAATTGTGTGTCTGAGGTGAAGCCCCACCCTCTTTGCCTTAGTCCTGGTCCTTGCCTTTCCTTTCCCAAAGGAATATGTACCTCTAGGAAGCTCTGTGCATTCTTCCCAGTTTTGGTAATGGCAACATTTCCTTAAAATAACTCAGTGGACAAAATATTTCATCATTTTGAAAACCTCCTTTGGGTCCCATGATCATTTTTCCGAAGTATACACCCTATTTGCTAAATGGCCTATCACAGATAAGAAACTGAAGTCTTTAACCACAGCCTCAACAAAAACATCAGTTTTAAAGGCCTTTAAGCAATCAGTTCATAGCTGCTCATGCTATGACAAACCAATGTCAAGGAGACCTCAGTATGCAGAGTTAGTAGCTTTTATTTTCCAGATGCTAGGCTAGTGTTGCTTTGGGAAGAAAGTCTGTGGTTCTTACCAGAGCAAGAGAGCTCCCATCTGAAAGAAAATGTACCTGCTTCTTTCATCCTGCCAGCTAGGTTAGTTTGAACTCTCAAGTTCTCCACTGACTCTCACTTTCTTCCTAATCATTGGCGCTTGCTAGTTGGGCTAGAGTTGACTCACCACTCCATCTTGGTCTTCCGCTGTATTCTGGCTAGTAAACTAGCCTTAGCTGACAGATAAACAGGGTCTGGGGGAAGTGGTAAACCCGCAAGTAAAATAGGTTCCTAATTGTTTGCTGTCTTTATCCGTGACTAATTTTTCTGAGCATGAACATATCTTATTCAGAAAAATGAGACCATGCCTGCTGGTGACAGGTAATATATTGAGAATATCCTTGGGTGTCCAATGGGTACTGTTCGAGTCTTGGCTGCTCCATTTCAATTCCAGCTCCCTATTAATGTGCCTGTGTCCCTGCACCCACATGGGAGACCTGAATGAAGTTTGTGGCTACTGGCTTTGGCCTGGACCAGTGCTGGCCTTTGTGGCCATTTAAGGGAGTCAACCAGCAAATGGACGAACTATTTCTCTCTTTCTTTAACTCTGCCTTTGAAATCAATCAACTTAAAAAAAACACTTCAGATTTTAGGAAGTCCTGGGAAAAGCTGGGGGGAGCAAAAAAGAAGGCACTGCTCCAGATTCATAAGTTTTTTCTTCCAGGGTCAGCTCCAGAATGAGGTAGTTATCCCCATTAACTGGATGGCTATTGTTTCCAGAGCTGGAATTCAGAGCTTATCACCTAACACTAAGGCAGTATGAATCAAATTGTTCCCTCAATTCACTGTAGAAGGCAAATGAGTAAAAATGTGATACAAGAGATGGCATATGCAAACACAAGCAGAGAACAGGATGTAAAGTTAACTGAAAATATATCTTGGTAAAAAATAAGAATAGGAATAGGAGAAGGAGGAGGAAGAAGGGTGAGTGTGCAGGTAGGGTGGGAAAAATCACTATGTTCCTAAATTTGTATTTATGAAATGCATTACGTTTGTATATCTTAAATAAAAGGTTTCTGGGGAAAATAAAATATGTGTGGTTCATGTTCTAGCCCAGAAAAAAAAAATCGGTGTTGAACGTTATGTTTTATGACTCAGCACTTGCTACTGGGTGAGGGAGAGGGCAAAGAGACTGCATGATGGAGAAAGTCAAAGTTGGACAGTGGATTTGGGAAGTTATTTCCAGCACTCTCTTACATTTTTTCTGACTTTTTTTTGTACCTGCCTTCTCCTTTACTTGTCCCAAATTTTTCCAGTCAGTCCAGAGAACCAAAATTGGTCTCAACTCCCTGTCCTGAGTGAGGAGGTAGGGGGAACAATATCCTATACGGAGGAATGAAAACATACGTCCCATATCCTATCTCTCAATCAAGGATGCCAAGAACATTCACAGAATTATCCAGGAGTCAGTGATAAGAAAAAAGACTCTCCTCAAGGATTACAGAGAAGGGAGTGTGGGGGAGAGCATGGTTGAGAGTCGTGGAGAACTGATGTACCTTGTGTAGGAAATTAGATAAATACACGGGGGAAATTCCTATATCACAAAGGTACCTACCTGTCAGGGTAAAAGTGGGAGGCCCCTTCTTAGTTCCTAGGGCAGGGAGGGGCCGAGTGGTCAGAGATATTAGAGTGGAAATGGGGGAAGGTACTCAAGGAAGCTACCATTTACCAACTGTGATAGAAATACCTCATATTTTTAATAACTGGTACAAACTAGCTACAAACTAGCTGGCTCTCAGCTCCAGATATAAAGGAGTAAGAGGGATCACCATAAGGGTCATGAGGATAAAGGATAAACAAACCCCACTAAGACAATATATTCTAACTTCAAGGTTTCATTGTCCACAAGCCAGCACTGCCTGTAATATGCAGTGCTCCTGATATGCCAATCTCCTATCTATTTTTCCCCCAGCAGTTTGTGCCAACACCCTTGAGAGCCTGGGTGATGGAGAAGTGGCTAGTATCCCCTGCGGGGCCCATTTCCCTCAGGGAAGAAGGGGGCGGGGTTACCTTCTTGCAGAGGACCATCTGGTGGTCAAACAGGAAGAAGACCCGCTGTTGGTTGCGGCCGTAGGGCTGGTAGATCCAGGCCATCTCCCCAGTGTAGATCAGCTCCGAGCTCCTGTCTAGGATGTCCTCGCCCTGGGAAGCACATGTGATGGTAAGAAGCAGTGGGGCAAGAGGGATGGTCCTGTACCCTACCTGGAGGCACCCCAGCCTGAGAGTAGATTGAGATAGGAAGATTCCAGGAAAGGCCTAGTGAGGAATAAGGGAGAAGTGACTATTGGGAATCATCAAAAGGCTTTACAACTCCTGAGAAGTTTCCAACTTCCTGAGACAATTCATATTCTTGTTCGCTTTGAAGCCAAATGAACCCCACCACCCAGGACTGCTGTAACTTCTCTATGCCTGTTGCCCTCTGGCCCTAGAGTAAACAGTTGCCATGAGTTCATTTATTCCCATTAATTCTCATTGTCTCCTTCCTCTCCTTGCACTACCCCCTGCCTATCTCTCTTTTTTTCTCTCTCTGAATCTTTCTCATTCTTCCTTTATCTTATTTCCTATGAATCTCCCTTTCAGTCCTAGTCTCTCAATTCCTGCCCTGGTCCCTCAGTCTCTTTCTAATACTTAAAGAGTAAGTCTGACCAGGTGGTAGAAATCTCTCTGTTTCCCAGATGAGTGGAAGTGACAGGGAAGAGCAAGCAAAAATATGATGACAAGAGGGAGAAAAACAGAATCCACTTATAATTATTTTTTATCTCCTCTCAGTTCATTAAAATCTATTGATTAAATAGGAAATTTCATGGCTGCATATTTCAGTTGGTCTGTTATCCATAGAGCCTGGGACTGATTCTTTTTGCTACACTGAGTCAGACAAACATACACACACAAATCACCAAGACAACATCAACTCATCAACTCCTGGCTAATTCAGTTCCAGAGTCTCCAAGGGCAATTCTGCTAGGTCACAAGTATGTTGGTGGTGTCTATCTGGAAAGGAGTTCACATCTCAGTGGAGGACATTAGTGCAGATGTGCTCAGAAATCATAGAACACAAGACAAACCACACCAATACCATGGTCACAGTGAATATGACAATGGGTATAAATACCAGTAACCTTAATTTAAAAGTAATTAATTAATAAATATTTCCTGAGCACCTATATGGTCATTGTAGACACTTTTCACTTAATCTCTTCTGAGCCTCACAAGAGCACTGAAAGGCAGATCTTCTTGCTCCTTTACAGTTTGAGATACAGAAAGGATCAAATGTTAAGCCAAATTTGCTTGGCTAGGCAGCTATAGATCCATGATCCTACCCCAGTGCCTATGGCTCCAGAAAGTATACTCATTCCTTCCACTACATTAAAATTAAGTGCACTAAATTTCTGTAAGCCAAAAACACCACTGGAGGGTCAGTCCCTTCCTCTCTATGGGTCTCAGTTTTCCCAGCTGTTAAGTCAGGTGTATGAGGATGATTGTTACAATCGCAGCTCTCATATTCTGATGCTAAGATTTCAGCATCATACTCAAAAGCTTCAAGATAAGGTGAGCGATCCTCCCAGAAATAATCAGAGGCAAACATCCCAGGCAGGGTAGTGGGCCACTAAAAGGCATCTGGATATAATATTTTTGAGCATACGTTTATTTTTTTCCTAGTCTAAGGGATGGAAAGGGAAAAGGGGAGTTCATTCTTTTTTAAGATTTATTTATTTATTTGAAAGTCAGAGTAACACAGAGAGAAAAGGAGAGGCGGGAGGAGAGGGGGCCTTCCATCCATTGGTTCACTCCCCAATTGGCAGCCATGGCCAGAGCTGCACCGATCCAAAGCCAGGAGTCAGGAGCTTCTTCCGGGTCTCCCACGCGGGTACAGAGGCCAAAGGACTTGGGGCATCTTCTACTGCTTTCCCAGGCCATAGCAGAGAGCTGGATTGGAAGTGGAGCAGCCGGGACTTGAGCCAGCACCCATATAGGATGCCGGCACTGCAGGTGGCGGCTTTACACGCTATGCCACAACACCAGCCCCAGAATTATTTTTTAATTGTAGAACCTGAGAGAAACTCAGAAATGTTGCTTCAACTCTAGCCTCCATGTTTAACTTCAGGATTACCTGGTAACTAGGTAAACATTCCTTCTTGAGGAGCTAACATACCACCACTGAATCACCAGTGCTCTAAGTCTAGAAGAAAAAGATCCCAGCACTGGGGAGCTGTTGGAGGGAAGGGAAACTGAAAGTGACATCAGTCCACTGTGCCTTATTCTGATGCAGATTAGGAATATGTGCCATAGTCCAATTTGAATATATATAAACTGATAGAAAACTACCAAGGTGGGATGGGGTTGGAAGGGCAATACCACAAAAAAGTGGCTAGGATTATGTTAATGGTATACATGTGAACCTGAGGATAATAAGATCGGGATGACTACTCATTCAGTATTATCTGATCCACCTCTGTACCAGTTAGGAACACTCTAACTCTACTAGAAGTACTTGTTACCTGTAACTTCACCAGGCAAAAAAAAAACTTTAAAAAAATACAGCTCTATGCTCACCAGGCAAACTGACCTTGGCTAACTACCATATTCATTTTGGGCCTCAATTTCCTCACCTGTAAAATGAGGATAATAACAGTACCAACCAATCTAATTTGGATGTTGTGAAGATTATTGAAGTACATATTTTGAAAATTTGATATCCTTGCATAAAAGGGGTCCTTCAAGAGGTCATGGGAAATGAATATTATGAAAAAACTTTGCATGAATTTCAAATAATTCCATTTCCATGAACTTTTTGAAGTCCTCACATATATATTCTGTCTCCTACAAGACAACAATTTCAAAGGAGCTTATTACTATTATCCTAAATACTAAGGTTAGAGAAATTGGAAGGAATTTGCCCAAACAGGAAGAATCCAGGTTTGACTCCTTCCACAGTTTATGCTCTTAATCACTAAACGACATTAGAATGATGAACAATCCCATCTGCCCTCCAGCAGAACCACCAATTGCTCTGGAATATTTCTGAGGTGAGAATATCAGAAGACTTGGGGCCAGAGTCCATTGCTGCTAAAAAACTCATTCTATATATTTAAGAAAGTAGCTTACATTCTCTTAAACTGTTTCCTCATTTGTAGCATGGAGAAAATATGACAGCTCCTGTTTGGTCCGCTCCACGTGGCTGCTTGAGAGCATCGAAACAGTTCACACAAGGGAAAGGGACTCTTTTATTATTCAGTTGTTATCTTGCCTCTTCTGCAAGGTAACTATATATCTTTTTGTCTTGCAGCAAAAAGTATAACATCTTCCTACTGCCTCCCCCATGGGACTTTTGTTCCATTCCTCTAGGATTTTGTTCCCTCTGATAGGAATGTATCTGTCCCCATTAGATGGCCAAGGCCATACCTTATCCATTTCAATGTTTCCAGTGCTTGTATGAGGCCTGACAGAGAGATATTCAAAACCTAAATCTCCTAGTATCACATATTTGCTTAAACCCCCCCAGTGATTCTCATCTTACTCAAACTAACAGCAAAAATTCTAAGAGAACATGATCTGACCACCTATTACTTTCCTTGATCTCATCTGCTTCAACTCTCTCCCTCACTCACTATATTCTGGCCACACTGGTCTCCTTACTACTTCATGAGCACATACTCTCATGCTTCATGGAATTTGTCCATGTTCTTCACCTTGCCTGAAATGAAAGCCACATTGCTTGCTTCTCCATCATTTTCAGGTCTTTTCTCAAATATGACCTCCTCGAATATCACCTACCTCATCAGCCTAGCCTGTTTCCGTACTTCATGTTTCTTCATAGACTTTATTATTACCTGATAATATATTACATGTTTGTTGCCACTCTCCCATACTACCATGTAAATTCAGGATAGGGTCTTTGTCCTTTACCTATTGGTAAAGGCTTTGACACAGAGTAGGTATTCAATAAATATTTGTTTAACACAACCAAAAACTACCCAAAGCTTTCTTACCAGTTCATCCACCTCACTTTCTTGATGCCAAAGCCTCATAGAAGAGATTTTACCCCATTCTAATGTATTTTAATTCTACTTTATCCCAATTCTAATTCACCCCATTTTGCCTGACTTCACTTCAGTCTAATTGCAGGCCAAGTGATGTGTGGCTGCGTTTTTCTGAACAGATACAGAGAAAGAAGACAATGGAAATGGCATCTTTTCCCATCAAGTTTATTTTCACTGCTGCCTACTGACAGGAGGGCAGGAAAATAACAAATCCATTCAGCCCCACATTTGATCTTCTGGTCTCAGGAGAATGCCTCAGCAAGCCACCTTAGCTTTCAAATAGATTATTTTGCTGCCTTCATCAGGTTGGGTCTCCAAATTTCTCTGGATTCAATCATTTAATGGTAAACTGGAACAGGCCCTTGGGTATTACACAACTAGGCTACAAGGGCAAGGGTGCCATGAGGAAGAAACCATAACCACACACAGTCAAGCTTCTAAACATGAGCTGCAACTTGTGCTCCTGCTAAAAATCTCCAGAGGGGAAAAAAGCATTAAAAAGAAACTGTCAGAGATATGTTCCCTTCCCCTTCCTTTCAAGTGGATTTAATGACTGTGAAAGGTGTCAAAGTGACAGCTCAATCGAACTTTGGCATGAAAGAAATCAGAAATGGAAATTTCCAGGAAACTGTGGTCCTTGGGACAGGTTCTCTCCCTGCTGCTTCTCCAAACTGCTCCAATGTGTTGATTATTACTTAGAGTGATGGGTGACACTTTCACTCATCTACTTATTTTTCAGGAGACTTGAAGAGTGGGACAAGGGTCAGGTACTTCAGGAACTCTATAGTCCCCATAGCACAGCAGGAAGCAGGGATAATAACTGGAGCTAGGATAAAGAGACCCAGAATGTTAATGGAGTAAGCTGAAGGAAGAGCCAGGCCTTGATAGCAAGGCTTCCTGCTCTCCAGTCAGACACTGCTTTCACACCAATTGCTTGTGTGCCACCTATCCTCCCAACTCCTCCCAATCCCTCTTAAAGGATATTAAGCTCTGAAGAGTTCCCCTATGATTCCTCTTTTTCATTTGATAAGTGAAACTGAAATTATCACACAGATGCTTCTGACAGCTACCCTGTTTATTCAAATACCTGAGAAGCAAGGAGGGTTTCAGAGACAGCAAGCATTACTTCTTTCTCATGATTTGCAAGGGTTGTCCATTGTATTCATCAGCAATTTGGCAAGAAATTGCTCTCTCTCTCTCTTATTCTTTCTCTGCCTGTTCAGCTTCTTGAGCTGGTAGAATATACTTAGACGCTATACTAGGATATCATGAAGTGTCTAAGTCCTGTTGTTTTTTCTCCAGCAAGAATCTACCTTTACCCTGATGGGAATTTGAATTCCTCTCCCCAATGTGGTCTCAAGGTCTCATTTAAATATAGATGCTTTATTGGAAAAACAAGCCCTTGCAGTACCACAAAGGACAATAGTTGGGCTACAGGAGGCAGGAGGTTAGAAGAGAATATGGTGCAGTAATGAAAAGAACATCACACAGAGAATCAAGAGACTAGGTTCAAGTTACACACCACTTGCTTGATCAGGAACAGGCCTCTTTGCTTATCATTCTCTATCATCATTACAAGTTCTGTGAGGGTAAGTGAGAGTATGCCTGAGAGTATGTATGTCTGGACACACACAAGCATGGTCAGGATTGTAGAGTGAGTCCTCTAAGAGCCCTAGTGACTCCGGCATTATAGAAGTCTTTAAGACCAGATATAATAAACATGATAGATACTTCAAAAGCCTTAACCTCCAAAACATACCTATCACACCTTGCAGGAAGAAAGGATCTCTACAGGGGAAATCTTCCAGAGCTAGCAAGTTCCATAGGGATCACAGAGTCTGAGCAGGGGACCATGAGGCATTTTTTCTACCTACCAGTTGTTACAGACTGAATGTTTGTGTCTCCTCAAAATTCATGTGCTGAAACCTAATCCCCAGTGTGATGGTTTTTGGAGGTGAGGTGTTTGGGAGGTGATTAAGTCATGAGAGTAGAGCTGTCACAGATAGGATTAGTGCTCTTATAAGGGATCCTAGGGAGCTAACTTGTCCTTTCTGCCATGTGAGGACACAGCAAGAAGATGGTCATCAGTGAACCAGGAAGTGGGCCCTTACCAAACATTTAATCTAGCAGCATATTGATCCTGGGCTTCCTAGTCTTCAGAAGGGTGAGAAATTAGTTTGTTTATAAGTCACTCAACAGCCCAAATGGACAAAGACAAAAATTTAGATAAAGAATGGGTTCAGGGGGCAGGCTGTGGCATAGCGGGTTAAGACACTGTCTGGGGGCCGGCGCCATGGCTCACTTGGTTGATCCTCCGTCTGTAGCACCAGCATCCCATATGGGCACCAGGTTCTAGTCCCAGTTGCTCCTTTTTCAGCCCAGCTCTCTGCTGTGGCCTGGGAGGGCAGTGGAGGATGGCCCAAGTGCTTGGGCTCCTGCGCCCGCAAGGGAGACCAGGAAAAAACACCTGGCTCCTGGCTTCGGATCAGCGCAGCACCAGCTGTGGCAGCCATTTGGGGAGTGAACCAGTGGAATAAGGAGCTGGCTTTAGCTCTACACTGTGACCATAGGCCTAAGATTGCTGCCCTTCCCTGGTAGCATTTCCAGTCTCTCTCTTCTTAGTAATGTTAGCAGTAGACTATCAGATTACACAATTTTTCCTGAGAGGTTCTCTTGGTGGGTATTAAGGGAAGGTTTTAGGAATTTCAGCTACTGAAGGCTTCCAAAGTTTAGAGAAGTCATGGCTATTTGCAAAGGAATGGAAGGCTATCATGGATTATTAATAGAACTTGGTCTGTGGATACAGTAGGAAAACTGTCATGGCCTATACTATGTAAGCTTGAATAGACTTAGAAGATGTATCAAGATGAACTGATCCAACCAAGAGAAAAAGTATGTTGCTGTCCTTCATGTTTGGGAACAAGAAAACCAACCTCATCTTCTGTGTCTGGAAGTAAATCAGCACATGCTACTCATCAAAGTGTGCTTCCGGCAATTATTAAGTCCAGGACATGAAAGAATTTCGAAATGCATCAGAATCAACCCAGTTGTTTCCCAGCAATACCCTAAGAGATAAATCTTTGCTTTTTTGATGAAGTATTGCCACAGATATTTTTTCCGATATTGTTAGAAAGCTATTCAAGCACCAACACTTCTCAGTAGCTGGAAACTTTTGCTTCGATCTAATCTAAATTCTTTCTGTTCTACAAATCTAATTCTTCTTCCTACATTATCAGCTAAAATAGGAAGTTTTCACCAAGGTATTCAGACTCCCCAATGCCCCTGTGAGTAGAAGTCCTACCTCCCAGTCTAGGACAGAGGCCTGCCACTGGGCAATCTTGTCGATATTCTCCAAACGTCGCTTGCGTTCGTTGATCTGCTGAGTCACATTTCTCATGACAGCCAAAGCAGCTGCCACATATCTATAGTCACTGTGAAGACACAAAAGTGCAAGTTGGATGAACCAATGTTCCAGAGAATCAATGTGCTAGCTGACAATCCTAACATCCAATCTCCTTTTCTTCCTCTGTATCACAGTCCTGCTATTCAGATGACAATATATATCATCTAGAGTAAAAGACTATATTTCTTCTCCTTTGGTTAAGCAAGGATGACTATGTGACTACATTTTGTCCAACAATATGTAAATATGAGTGTTCAACAGGACTTCTGAAAAATCTTCTTTAAGGAAGAAAACATGCCTTTCTTTAGCCCTTAATTCTGATGCCTGGAATGGCTGAGACTCTAGTAGTTATCATGAACCATAAGGACAAGGTCTATATCCTATAGGTAGAATATCTGAAAGCTGGAAGGAGCCAGATCTTTGATGACCAGGGAGCCACTATACCAGTCAGAGACCTCCTAATTGCAGACTTATTTCATATGTAAGACATATTCTATCTTTTTCATACTATTTTTATGTCCTATCTTATATAACCAGACAAGGATCAAAAAGGGAATCTCACACATGGCACAGTCCAGGAAACATAATCATCTCTTTTACTTTCTACATCTAGGGCATCTCTGTTCAAAGTTACTATAAAATATCTCCACATTTCCTACTGCATAATATAAAAAAACAGAGTCGACAGACTCCAAGAGCTCAAATCTTAGTTTGGTCATTGAATAGTGGTGTGGCCTTTGGCAAGTCTCACTCATTCTCTCATTCAGTTTTCTCATCTGTGAAATGGGTAGAATTATGGTAAAATATATTGAGGAGTTTTTAACAAATTAAATACAATCATTCCATGTAAACTCTTTTAGTCTATGATAAATGATAGCAGTATTATTATTACAAATAAAACATTTCTCTAGTAGCGATATCACATGGGATACTTCTTCAGACTCCTGGTCCCAAAAGTATAACCTTCATCCCAGCTTCCTGGGACTTTCAACAGTATATGTGTTGAGGATTACACCACCTTGTACAGTTTTCACTGCTTTTCTTATCTCATTTCCAATCTAATGGCTCCTGTGGAAGGCAGACTGACAGTGAAATCTCAGCCATTCAGTGGAACTACAATAAACTAAGAATGTAAGAGGATGCATTATAGTTCAGTGTTACACCTTTCCTTAAAGATGCTGGAAATGCCTTGTGGTTATTAATATGCTTATTCTTCTAGCATGGATTAGAAAGGAGAAAAAGAAAATGCACAGGGAAGGAGTTTTAACTGCTAGGGCAGATGCCATGTAACTCCTTTTCTTAGCTGGCATTCATTGCTCCAAGCTGTGCTCTGCATACCTTTGAGGACCATGGCCCACAAATGCTGTTGTATTTTATCACCCTCAGGGACAAGTTGGTCACTATACTTCTTAAACGTTTTATTGTGTCTTAAGACAACTCTGTTAGGAAAGCCTGCTTTATTCTGAACCTTAAATTAATGTCAGTCATTATCAGTATTTCTTTTAGATCCCATTGCTAACCTGTACTGAGGTTATAACCAACTAATACTTACTAAGTCTCTTCTAAGCTTGCTGTACAGAAGCTGTATCTGTCTGTGCATGTTCTTTAAAAAATATTCTATTTATTCGAAAGACAGAGTTACGGAGAGAAAGCAAGAGAAATCTTCCACCCACTGGAACTGCCAGGGCTGGGCCAGAATGAATCCAGGAGCCAGGGGTCTCCTGCTGCTACTTTCCCAGGTGCATTAGGGAGTTGGATCGGAAGTGGAGCAGCCAGGATTCGAACTGGTGCTCATATGTGATGCTGGCGTTAAAAGTGCCAGCTTTACCTGCTGCACCACGTTACCGGCCCTGCATGTTCTTAAGCTGTAGATTTCTCAGACTCAACTGCAAAATTTTACATTTGTTCCTGTTACATTGCATCCTTTCAGTTACTTGCTCTAGCTTATGGAGGATCTTTTGGACTTTATTACATTGCTGAAGTTTCCATCTCTGACAGGACTGTCTAAGGCTGTCATTTAGATGTAATATACAGTGAGGACAGAACATCGCTTGCAGTGGAGAAGCTAGTGAAATAAATAAGTACACCTGCTCTTGGGGGCCATTTTTTGTTCTCTGGTCTCTTCTTTTTCTGATTTAAGGACATCAGTGCTTTAAGTTACTTTCTGGGAAGTATAAAGCTACACAGTCCAATATGGTAGCCACTAGCCGCATTTAGTTAAAATTAAATTACAATAAAATTTTAGTGCCTCAGTTGTTCCAGCTATCTTTCATAGTACCCAATAGCCACACATGGTCAGTAACCACTGTTTTGGACAACACAGATATAGAATATTTACATTACATTGGACAATGCTGGCATGTGAATTCTTATTACCCTCTGGCTTGACCCCAAGTCCTACCCAGCCATGGATTCATCACTGTCACCATCCTATAGTTAGCTGCTTTTCTAACTGCAACTAGAGTATGAATGCTTCTATCTCTGTCCCACTAGCTTTAGAAGTGGATAAAAGAAGAGAATAACTGTGGTCCAACCTTGATCCTGGTCAGAGGCCCTGGGCCCTCAGATGAGGTATGGGTCCTCATCTGCTAATGGAAAGAGTGACAGAAGCAAGATTTCTAGTTCCAGACATGTGAACTAACCTTCCTTTTGTGTATAGTCTTCCTTCTTGTCAGCTTAAGAAAGGTGGGGTAGGGGAAATATGTTACTCCTCTATAAGCAAAGGCAGTGTTATTCTCCATTTACAACTGTATCTAATTCTCTCCTTCCAAGGCTACTCTGACTGCCTATATTTCAGGCCTATTTATCTGACTAAGCCTCCAATTGTAGCAGTTTCTAACTGCCTTGAAACAAGCTACTTCTTGACATGCATGGTAGTACAGCTTCCTGAGGCCTCACTAAATGGGTTGGCTATGTCCTGGAGGTAGTGCTGGGCCCAACAGGTTACCCTGAGGATGGAGAAAGGTTGATCTATCTCGTCACTGCCTGAGCTATTCTCTCAACATTCTGGAGCCCAGGAGATGAGAACAGACAGGACCAAGGAGCCAAAGAGCAAGAAAGTTTTAAGGCAGGCCTTCCAGTCACAAGATAAAGGAGTATAGGAATTGGCAAATCCTAGGTAGATGACTTGTTCTGCCAGCTCCCACCAAACCCAGTAAAACCTTGTGGTTGCTTGACTAAGAAACTAACAAAGCTTGAAGTTGTGCTTAAAAATAGCCTTTCTGGGACTCTAAAGATCAATTATGCAATATGTAATATACCTAGTAATATTGTCAGTTAATAAGTATGATTTTTAGAAACCCCTGCTACATTCCATAGAATGGATAGGTGCAAAGTAGGTAGGTGAGGAGCTGTGATATAAAAACATTTAAAAACCACTCTTTGAATGTCTAGGTTTCAAGACTATTTGTCTGAAGGCTGTTTCTTGGTGATTTAGGTACATGAGTCACTCTTGCTGGTCCCTTAACACCATGCAATATAACTGTGGAGGTCATTTGGGCTCATGATATCACAGGCTGATAGAATTTGAATGCTTACAACAGACTGGCTCACAAACCTACCTGGGCACAGAGATTTCCTTGAGCATTTTGAAAAGATAAAATTCTCAGATCATTGCTCAGGCTTCATGTACCTGTGTTACTACAGACTTGCTCTGTATCTTTTCCCTTTCTAAGCCTTAGTCTTTCCAACCATAGAGAGAGACAATCTGACAAAAAGAAAGGTTTCTACTCTAGGTACCATATATATTTTCTATTTTTCATTTTTAAATATCTTACTATTAGTGGGAGGTTCTTCAATATCCTACAACACTTCACAAGAAAATATAGCTTTATAAGACTTGGACCTAGGTTCTGGCAATGGAATACATTAAATCTGCTCAAGCAGGATTTAGTCATCTGCAAATTTCAAATCTAATGAATATGCTCATTGACCCCCAGTTAGTAAATTACCTCAGGGAAGGGAGAACAGGGTCCTTCTTGACAAAGTCCTGCTTCACTTGTCTCCCTCACAGTTAAGAGGTCATGGAAGGCAGAGCTATCACTGGCCTTGGTTAATCACATAAATAGAAGAGTCCAGTGCCAAGGCATTTGAGCTAAAATTTGAAATTTGCCTTGGGCTCCAGAACCACTTAAACACATGATCTAGAATCTCAAAAAGAAGCAATTTCAACTCAAAAATGAATACAGGGATTTCCCAAGAAGTTTAACACAAACCAAACCAGCTAATCCACACCCATGGCCTTATGCATCTAGATCTGGAAACCAGTCCCAAGGAAACCAGGTGTTAAATGGAAGTGAGTAAATTAAGAATCAGTCTAGGATGGCGTCATGGCTCACTTGGCTAATCCTCCACCTACGGCACCAGCACTCCAGGTTCTAGTCTCGGTTGGGGCACCGGGTACTAGTCCCGGTTGCTCCTCTTCCAGTCCAGCTCTCTGCTGTGGCCTGGGAGGGCAGCGGAAGATGGACCCACATGGGTGACCGGGAGGAAGCACCCGGCTCCTGGCTTCGGATCAGCGCAGCGCCAGCCGTTGCGGCCATTAAGGAGTGAACCAACAGAAGGAAGACCTTTCTCTCTGTCTCTCACTGTCTATAACTCCACATGTCACATAAAAAGAAAAAAAAAAGGAATCAGTCTAAAAGCTAAATAAAATTGGGCAAAGATCTAGGTTCTTAATTCTTCTTGAAGTGTTTTTTTATTTTTATTTTTTATTTTTGACAGGCAGAGTGGATAGTGAGAGAGAGAGAGAGACAGAAGAAAGGTCTTCCTTTTTCCATTGGTTCACCCCCGCAGTGGCCACTGTGGCCAGTGCGCTGTGGCCAGCTTACTGCGCTGATCCGAAGCCAGGAACCATGTGCTTCTCCTGGTCTCCCATGCAGGTGCAGGGCCCAAGGACTTGGGCCATCCTCCACTGTACTTCTGGGCCACAGCAGAGAGCTGGACTGGAAGAGGAGCAACCAGGACAGTATCTGGCGCCCAGACCTGGACTAGAACCTGGTGTGCTGGTGCCGCAGGTGGAGGATTAGCCTATTGAGCCACGGCACCGTCCTGAAGTGTTTAGTTTGAAGAAGAGAGCTAACAACTAAGCTAAAGAATCTAAGATCAGGGATTTAACATCAACTAAAGGCAAGTCATAAAAAGTCTGGGGACTCTAGGTTATTAAGAAAAGGCAAAATTTGGGACAGCTGATTGTAGACCATTCCTATTATTGTCAATTATTCCCATCATGTACTTTACTGGTAGGAGATGAGGAGTATCATTTCCATTCAGTGTGAGGCAAGCTCCTTGGTCCTTGTTGGGTTGGTTTTCTTTAAAATACATTTAAAACTTCAAAAGAAAAAAACCTGTAGTAGAACTCTGAAGTCTATCTTTCCCCATTATACTCTGGGACTAAGGGAAAGACACAGTTGGGGTAAGGAAGAGGAGGCTTAAAAAGGCTAAAGAAGATCAGGAATATAGCTTTGCAGAACAACCTAGGATCAGCACAAGTTGGGTAAGTTTTTACCAGGGCATTTGAGTCCATCAAGCAGAATGGAATATGTAGTTGAACACTTACTATATCCGGATTGATTCTTTTAACTGAACTCAAGACTAAGGACTAAGTTATAAGCTCTCTGAAGATAGGTTCTAAGTTGTACAATAATGATGATGCAGACTTATTTTGTGTGCATACCCATTTACAACTTTAAAAGCAATTCTCAAAAGCAACTCCCCCCAACAGCCTTGTGAAGTAACGTATCATCCTATTTTCCAGATAGGTTAAGCTAGAAAAGGCAAAAGGACACATTTTCAATAAGCACCAACATGTAGAGGAACCTCACTCCTGCCTCCCTCAATCTCTTACCTGTGGTCTTGGGCAGTATACTTGAGAAGTTCAGCCAACTGTAAAGGATACTTGCAGATCTTCTGTACTGGAGTCAAAAGAAAACCATCGATAGCAATGTCAATCATCTGCTGCAGTAGGCGGCAGGCCTCAAAAAAGTGCTGGTAGCGGCTATCCTTCATCAGCTTGGAGAGCTCCATGCACGCATCCAGGTGGTTGTTACAATACTCAGAATATATCCAGAATCCATCTTGCTGTGGGCAGAGGAAAAAAGGAAAAGAAACAAATACTGAGAACCTCAAAAGAAGTCTTCAAGTAATGGAATGATCCTGTTCTAATGTAGGAATATTAGATTAAGAATGTCAATTATTCTTTTTAAAGATTTATTTATTTATTTAAAAGGCAGAATTACAGAGAGGCAGAGGCAGAGAGAGAGTCTTCCATCTGCTGGTTCACTCTCCAAATGGCCAGAACGGCCAAAGCTGGGCTGATCCAAAGCCAGGAGCCAGGAGATTCTTCCAAGTCTCCCATGTGGGTACAGGGGCCCAAGGACTTGGGCCATCTTCCACTGCTTTCCCAGGTGCCTTAAAAGGGAGCTGGACTGGAAGTGGAGCAGCCGGGACTCAAACCAGTGCCCATATGGGATGCCAGCACTGCAGGTGGCACCTTTATTCACTACACCACAGTGCCGGCACAAAATGTCAATTATTCTTAAATTTTTTCATACTTTAATAATAAAAATATCAAAAGAAAATATTATCTAACTAGATAAACTGAGTGCATATAGAAAAGCCAAATGAGTAGAAACAATCTGGAAATTCTAGAAAAGAAAGGTAATAAAGCCTAATGAGAATGAGATACAGCGTGGATCACTAGGCTAATCCTCCACCTGCGGCGCCGGCACCCTGGGTTATAGCCTTGGTTGGGGCGCTGGTTCTGTCCTGGTTGCTCCTCTTCTCGTCCAGCTCTCTGCTGTGGCCTGGGAAGGCAGTGGAAGATGGCCCAAGTGCTTGGGTCCCTGCACCCGCATGGGAGACCGGGGGGAAGCACCTGGCTCCTGGCTTCGGATCATCACAGCACACCAGCTGTAGCAGCCATTTGGGGGGTGAACCAACAGAAAAGGAAAACCTTTCTCTCTGTCACTCTCTCTCTCTCTCTCTAACTCTGCCTGTCAAAAAATAAAAATAAAAAAAAAACTCTGCTATTGAGTCATAAAAGAGACATATTAGAGATTCCACTTCTGGAAATGGCAGAGTAAGTTGTTTCACATACACCCTGCCACTGAGAACAGTTAGAAAATTTGAAAAAAATAGTAAAATCTGTATGGAAAATATCACATCATCCAGCACTTCAACTCATTTGCGCAAAATATCCCTTAAGAAATGTACCTTGAAGTTATGTAGGAATAAGGTCAATATTAATGCAAGTTATATACGAATGGCTAAAGGGGAAAATGTATGAGTGCATGTATGTATAAAAATGATGCAATGTTGGGCCAGCACTGTGGTGTAGTGTGTGAGGCTGCCATCTGCAGTGTCGGCATCCCATATAGGTGCTAGTTTGAGTCTCAGCTGCTCCACTTATGATCCAGCTCTCTGCTGTGGCATAGGAAGGCAGTGGAGGATGCCCCAAGTCCTTGGGCCCCTGCACCCATGTGGGATACTCTGAGGAGGCTCTGTCTGGGGAGTGAACCAGTGGATGGAAGACCTTTTCTTTACCTCTATATCTGCCTCTGCCTCTCTGTAACTCTGCCTTTCAAATAAATCAAATAAATCTTTAAAAAAATGTAATGTTAACAATACATGGATCTAGGTAAATGGGATATGAGTATTCACTGTACTTCCCTCACATTTCAACTTTTTCTGCAAGTTTGAAATTACTACCAAGTAAATCTTTTTAATATCCCTCAAATTTTTCTTATACATTGTTCAGTATTCAATAAAATAATTTTAAAAAATTAAAAATAACTGCTACATGAGAATACAAAACATGGGGAAAAAACAACAGGAATCACAGGCAACAGAAATTGAATGGCAAAAAAAATAAGAGAGTAATCACAAATATACCATTTTTAAACAGTGAAATAGTAAACAAAAAGAATGATGCACTATGATTAGGAGGGATTTACCCCAATTCACATCACACAATTAAAGGATAAAAATCACACAATCATTTCAATAGATACAGAGTAAGTATTTGAGAAAACACAATTATGATAAAAGCCATGAGCAAACTAGGAATAAAAATAAACTATTTCAATGTAATAAATGACAAACCAAAACTAATAAATTCTCAGTGGTGATATACTGAATGCATGCCCCTAAGATCAGCAACAAGGCTAAGATTCTGCCTCTTATCATTTCTAGTTAACGCTGTACTATATTTCTTGGCCAATGCAGTAAGACATAAGATAAACAGCATATAGATTTTTTTTTGACAGGCAGAGTGGACAGTGAGAGAGAGAGAGATACAGAGAAAAAGGTCTTCCTTTGCCGTTGGTTCACCCTCCAATGGCCGCCGCGGCCGGCGCGCTGTGGCCGGCGCACCACGCTGATCCGATGGCAGGAGCCAGGAGCCAGGTGCTTTTCCTGGTCTCCCATGGGGTGCAGGGCCCAAGCACCTGGGCCATCCTCCACTGCACTCCCTGGCCACAGCAGAGGGCTGGCCTGGAAGAGGGGCAACCGGGACAGAATCCGGCGCCCCTACTGGGACTAGAACCCGGTGTGCCGGCGCCGCTACGTGGAGGATTAGCCTAGTGAGCCGCGGCGCCAGCCAACAGCATATAGATTTAAAAGATGATATTATTATGTATGTATTAAATCATAAGAAATCCACAAAAATTAGAATTAGTGAGTTTAGTAATATGCCAGGATACACAATGCACAAAAGTCAATGTATTTCTTATAGCAAAAACTATAGGAAAATGAAAATGTAAAATACTATTTACAATAGCATCAAAACCCATTAAATACTCAGAAGTCAGTATTTAGGTAGAGGATATTGGCAAGATGGCAGATTAGGGAGGCCAGCCTTCCTTTCCTCTACAAAGAGGAACAATTCAACAGCTATCCATGAACAAAAAACAATTCTAGAAGAGTTTAGTAGTCCATTTAAGACATAGCAAGGGCCACTGTTATGATGCAGTGGATTAACCTGCCACTTGTGATAATGGTATTCCATATTGGAGCACCAATTTGTGTCCTGGCTACTCTGCTTCTGATCCAGCTCCCTGTTAACGTGTCTGGGAAAGAAGGAAAAGATGGCCCAAGTACTTGGGCTCCTGTCAGTCACGTGGGCTAACTTGATGGAGTTCTGAGCTCCCAGCTTCAGCCTCGACCTGGACCAACCCCAGCCACAAGTGAACTAGCAAATGGAATCTCTCTCTGTCTCTCTCTGTGTCTGTCTGTCTGTCTCTGTCTCTCTCTCCCACTCTGTCAATCTGACCTTCAAATAAAATAATCCTTAAAAAGTAAAAAACTCAAAGCAACACAGTGGAAGAAAAAAACAATAGCCATGCAAAAAAGAGTAGGAAGAAGGGTTTCATTTTGTCATTAACACCTCATTCTTCACGCCAGCCAGGCTGAGCATACAGAAGGAATTCTATGGCTCTATGCCCCCCTTGAAGGGAAAATGAGACTAAGGTAAACAACAAATTTCTCAAGCTTTCTGGGATACTGCCCAAATGACCAGCTTTACTTTTACTCCAACCAAATCTTTGGGGGAGGGGAGATTTGGCATAGTTGAGACATATGGAGACTGTGGGTAACATGGAAGAGAAATGGGCTTTATTAGTATCAGCCAGGCAGGAGAATCACTGAGACCCTCAGCAGATCTTTCTATAGGGAACCTCAATAGCTCTCATGGCCTCAGGTACCCCTCATAGCTTTCACAACCAAGGTTTCCTCCTCAGTGTTCACAACGACAGAGTCCAGTACCTTGTTTTGCAGTGGACTCTAGAAACTTTCACTGCTGAGAAAAACAACTGCTAGCAAAGCAACAACAGACCCCTGCAGCCTATGCCATACAGGTCCCCACAATATTTTTTGCCTTCAGTTTTCAGGGACCTGAGACATGTCTTCCCTTTCTCACTCACTTCCTTAAGCCAGAAACAGTTTTTGGACTGCTGTTGCACCTGCAGTTTCCCTAGTCCAGGGAACAAGTCCCACAGCCTTCACATTCTCTAGATCCCTGATCAAGAAGCCCTCTTCATCACCTGATCTGGAAGCTACCTGAGATATTCCTACCACAGGCACCCCAACTCAAGGATCCAGACCACCAGCCTTTTCATACTCTGAATGTCATGACACCACCCCCCTTCTCCCTGAATACATCTCAGTTGCTGTGTCTTTGGGTGCTCTGGCCCAGTAGCCCAGCACAACTACTATGTATGTCCAAAAACAGACTCAGGGCCATTCTCTGTGGGCTCTGGCCCCACAACCATGCACAATCCAAGCAGACTGATGAAACCAGATTATAGCACACTGATAGCCCTGGTCTCCACAGCTGTGAATACATAAATATCTGGCCTTATCATCCAGTGTCAGCCCTCATCACTGTGTTTACACCCATTACTGGTCCATGGAGCTATGCAGACATTGACATCACCAACTTGGACCTGCAGCTGTCCACAGATAGAAACTTGGTCCTTATAATTGGCCCAAAGTTGATCTCTGCAACCATGCTTCCAGATCTCATCACTACCTAGCAGTTGCCCTTAGCCATTGCCACTAACCTCAGTCCTTACCACCTTGAACAAACCCACAGCTGGCTACCACTAACCATGCATATGCTTTCACTTAGCCTCTCCAAGTAGAATGTGGGCACAATACTGATACTGTCTTCCAATGCTACTGGACCCAAAGGAACAGCTGAGAACCCTGCAGTTCTCACAACTATGGTGGGTTTCTTTCCCCAGCTCTTAGAGTCACCAAATCTACAGATCATAGCTGCCAAGCCAAGAAGACACAATTTTTCACACATTGAATCACTACATGGCTCCCACAAATAGTGCCAAATGACACTATATCTGATGTCACAGTATACCCCAGCATGTCTTCACAGCACCCCCCCCCCACTTTCAAAGGAAGGAATTACCTTATCCAAGTGAGTTCATAAAGTCTGGAAGAGATATCTGCTTATTAAAAATCATAGGCAACTTTGCAACACAACAAAGATCAAGAAGACTCAGGGACAATGACACCACTAAAGGAACACAATGAACTTCCAATAACTGATCCCCAAAACTGAAGATCCA